ACCACCACCATCACCACCCCTACAACACCACAATCACCACCACCACCCCTACAACACCACAATCACCACCACCACCCCTACAACACCACAATCACCACCACCACCCCTACAACACCACAATCACCACCACCACCCCTACAACACCACAATCACCACCACCACCCCTACAACACCACAATCACCACCACCACCCCTACAACACCACAATCACCACCACCACCCCTACAACACCACAATCACCACCACCACCCCTACAACACCACAATCACCACCACCACCCCTACAACACCACCACCATCACCACCCCTACAACACCACAATCACCACCACCACCCCTACAACACCACAATCACCACCACCACCCCTACAACACCACAATCACCACCACCACCCCTACAACACCACAATCACCACCACCACCCCTGCAACACCACAATCACCACCACCACCCTAATATTCAACACGTTAGTTGCCCTATAAGAAGGAGAACTGAAGTTCTCATACCTTTCCTCCTCCTTTTTGTAAAGAGTTGTACGGATGTGGAGGCGAGATACACCATAAGGAATGGTGGTTGGTGGTGGTGGTTGTTGGTGGTGGTGGTGGTAGTGGTTGACAGTAGTAGTGGTGGTATAGCCAAAGTGGTGTGTCGATTTGTGTGTCAAAATTAGTATACCTCTTGGGAGTTTGTACCTACATTGGCTAGCCTGATTCCCTCTATTGTATATTCTCTCTGTCTCAAAAAAAATCCCCATTGTATTGGTGAGGGTACCATTGGTAGCCGGTACCAGGGAGAGACACGGTACTAGAGGCATGGGAGTGTCACAGTGTACCACTCCACGGCATAATGTACCACTGTGTACCACATAATGTACCAGTACCGGCCTTTGACCTCCTACCCTCCTCCCCAGGTCAAAGTTCACACGCTGCACCGTGTACGAGACATAGTTCAGTCCCAGATAATTACAACTAATTACGCACAAAGAAAATAATAATGGCTTCGAACCTGACCCAGAGTTGCCATTGTGCTGTGCGGGTGACTGGGCCCTCGAGTCCAACACATGCAGAGGAGTCGTTTGAGGTCCCCGTTAGCGGAGTGTTTCTTGAGGTTATCTTGAGATGATTTCGGGGGCTTTAGTGTCCCTGCGGCCCGGTCCTCAACCAGGCCTCCACCCCCAGGAAGCAGCCCGTGACAGCTGACTAACACCCAGGTACCTATTTTACTGCTAGGTAACAGGGGCATAGGGTGAAAGAAACTCTGCCCATTGTTTCTCGCCGGCGCCCGGGATCGAACCCGGGACCACAGGATCACAAGTCCAGCGTGCTGTCCGCTCGGACGACCGTCTTGGGTAAGATTAGGCTTAGGCTTGTCGCCCAAACGACGCATGCGTACTGAGGCGCTTGAGAACGGCATGATGAGTAGCGGCGTTAAGTATTATATGTTTTTGCCTCGACTGTACAAGCCAATACGCCTTGTATAGTATCTTGTGTACGCCCGTAAGCCTTGTTGTACAGTCTGCTGTATTAATACATGTGACATAGAGAGGGATGGAATAGAGAGCTGAAGAGGCAGAAAGAGCGAGCAGCCTCTCACTAGGCTCCTCCACCGACAACAATGGCGGCTACTCTTTTTTCCTGTTTCATTCTTTCACATTGTGGCCGCGGCGGCGTGTTGTCGGCGCCTGGTCGTACTGACCAATTTTATACCTCGCAAATTTCGGGAAGTCAAGGTTTACTGGCACGGAGGCACACAGATAGGACGGTATTTGGTACTGTTTGTTGTTGGCGTTCGAGACTCTGATGGAAGAGATTTTGATGTGGGTCTGAGGCTCACTTTAATGTTGGTGCGCTGACTTGGGGTCTGAAACTCCATCTTCTCTTCGGGAAAAAAAGGCTTCGATGCGGCAATTTTTTGTAATTCACGACAATGCAATAATATTACTTTTTCCTCTAAAATGTGGCATTAGTGATTTAGTTACCGCGCACCGTTAGTCGAGTGAGGTATGGGTTTCAAGATTTACTGATCGTGGAAGGTAATTATGACACTACCTGTATAACTCTGGGTCATTGTTACCTTATTGCTGCCTAAGTCCATTAACTGCGCGAGTGCGGAGTGAAGACAGGCGCAACAAGAATGAACTAGCGAGTGCAAGAACGAGTGAGAGAACTGCAACTTGCAACTCGAGTCGCAGAACTAGGTGGTGGTGCAATATATATCAATTTAGATGTGGAGTGTGATTTCCTGCAAATCGTCAGATTGAGAAGATGGTTCTTGAGAATATTTGGTGATGCTTGAATGTTAGATGATGATGGTGACAGTGAACATGAGGCTTGGAACATGACATGATAGTGATCAGACATAGTGTGTGTAAGCAGGACACTAGAAGTGATAGCGAGGAAGGTCAAGTGGAAATAATTTGTGGAGTGTAGCCTATTTGTTTCCTTTTATATATAAAGCACAAAAGTATTAGCAACATAAAATATACCAGGTCCAGGTGTACCA